CAATTTCTTCCTCGGACCACTCTCGATCTAGAATAAATAGATTATATATATATATGTAGATATATATGTGAAGATAAAATGCTGATATATAATGTGAATCTATATTTATACCTATTAGATATTTATTATATTCATCATCCTCATAACTCTCAATTTCGACAGAACAATTAAATCTAAAAAATGGATATATTTCTAGAAGAAAAGCTTGGCCTTAGATATAGTTTACAGCTTTAAATTAATTAATCAATAGATAAATAAATTACCCTGATCTTCGATATTCGAGACTTTTGTCCAATGTTTTAACCTTAATCCATCATTCCTTGAATTATTAATAAATTCTTTACATTCCCTTTAGTGGATTTTAAATATTAATAAATAAATTTTTATTAAATAAATAAATTGTTATGTTTAATCAATAAATCAATCAATCAATCAATCAATGAACTGATCAAATATAGATTTATCACCATTGAACACCTTGATCCATCAATTTTGATCTAGTTTTTAGAGCAGGTCTCACAATTGCTACGGGAGATGGTCCACCAATTAATTGAAACAATTTTTCAGTTAAAACATCTAAAATCACACACACATATATATATAACAGTGTAAGTACAATGAATGTCATTATGTCAAATATAAATAAACAAGTCATTAAAAAGTTCTTGTAATAAATACTGTCTGCAAACCATTAAATTACCTGATTCATTGTTTACATTTTCAGGTTTAGAATAATTATTGTTTAATGAATCATTTTCTACTGTTTTCGAAAGTTCTTGAATATCTTTATTGTCAAAATAAGTCATATTTATTTATTTTCTTTTAGATCATCAAAGAGAACATGTAATTAATTGAAATTGAAAAAGTTGAAAAAATTTTTTTATTAATTAAAATTAATTAAACATAATAAAATATATAAAATCATTTATTGACATTGTAAAATAATTAGAAATTTCCAGTTAAAACCATTCTGTCAATATATCACGAAATTTAACAAACCTTCTTTATCATACAAGAAAGAATATGAAAGGAAAGTTAAGTTACACACTAAACCATCGCGTTCTATGCGTAGATCGACCCAAATTTTAAACGTTGCACAACAATATAATAATTGAAACACCTTTATCATGACCAAGAATTAATAATGGAGTTGTTTTATTAGAATATATAAAATTTGCAAAATTCATGATATTGATATTATTTCATAGTTTAAAATAACCTTTAATCATTAATATAAAACTGCTTTCGAAATAACATCTTGAGAAATGGGATCAGGCAAAGTTGTAGAAGACTGAAGTATCACTGTAGAGGCATGATGGTTGAATATTAATAGTATATTGGCAAAAATTATGTTGCCTTGACCATTGATCATATCGATTAAATGCTCCTTTGAATAGAGAGTACCAAAATTATTATTTAGATTCAAAAGAGAAAATGTTTTAGCAATGATTGTATACCTCTAAAGGAACTAATGAATTATCAGCTTGGCAAATTGTGCAACAATGAAATTAAAATAATGAGAAATGGTGCAAAGATAATTGTGGATAACTGTCTGCATTACTGCATAGTAGTATATACACTTACAGTCATTTGTGTAGTATTTATAATATAAAAAAAAAATATAATTCATCTTTTTGATTTTACCTTGAACATAAAACAATGAAGTATTCCACTGTTTTTCAGGGATTGAATGAGAGGAAATTAGGGGTGATGGCTTGTTTATAGGTGTTGTCTCTAATGGTGAAAACTGTAGAAATTCTCCTATATGTGGTAGACATTGAGCTCGCATAAATCCAGCATAATCACCTTCAATTGGCCATTCAAAGTAAAACAATTTTGTAATGCCATCAATCGTTTTCACTTTGTGATTTTGATTTTGGCGTGCTGGCACAAGTTGAGCAATAGAGGTCCCCTTTAATCTATGTATTGCTTCTTCTATTTTCCTTCCTTCATCTAGATTATGGCCAACATGTACATATCTCTTGATAGCATGAGAAATCTAACAAAAGGCATATTTTTTAATTAATGGAAGTACATATGGGGGCGCTCTAGGAAAACCAGGTTTCGAGACTTTTGGTCAAAAAAAATTTTTTTGCATGATATTAAACTATAATATCATGACTATAATTTGTGAAAAAATTAGATGTGATTTATTTAGTACAAAAATAAATTCTTGGGGGTAACCAAAATTTTTTTGAATCGAATTTAAAAATCAAAATTTAAAAAAAGCAATGATCTACATACTGCACATTTCATAGTCACGGAAATCATATTTAATAAAAACTATTTCGTTAATATTAAGCCGAATTTTATTATAATTTCTACTTTACTTGATAAAACGAACTTAATGGTTTGTACAAAATAATAAAATCTAACTTTCTAAGCCGAATATGATCATAAAAATTCGTCTTATAATGATAAAATTCGGTTTAAAAATGGTCGATCACCCAACAATCAAGTTTAGTCAAGATGATTATTACTAAATTAGGCTTTTAACCCTTTATGCTGCCAGCCCTGTTTGTATCGGATCCTATTCCCAAAAGTTCGGCTTATCGAGGTTTGACTGTAATCCCAGACTGAATTAGATGACGTTTTGATAGTTATTTTCTGTTGTAAAAGTTAATTTATAATATAATACTTACCATCTGGTTATTTTAAATAAATAAAAATAAATTTATTTAATTAGATGATATTTAATCTGTTGGAATGCATATATATGGGTTTTAACAAAGTTGGCTTGCTTATTTCTAAGGCTAGCCATTTGGTAACATAGAATCATTACCTTTTTTAGGCTTATTTTTGTAGAATAATTTTTTGAAGAAGGGTTCATGCTTTGATACAGCATATCAAAAAAACCTTTTAACGAAGGATCTCTTTCTTTGATCATTTTTATGAATTCATCAGGATCATTAATAATTTTGTTTTTTTCACGATGTTAATAATTATATAAAACAGAAGAAAGCCTTTTTATTTGATCATTAAAAAAATAAATAAAAAATAAAAAATAGGAAATAGTAGTTAATATTTGATAACCTTTAATATGTTTATTTGATGGTCGAGTGATTTTTAATTCTATAACTTGATTTTGTAATTCCTGTAAAGTAAAATTAGATGTGGATATTTATTTTACAGCTTGAAACATTTTTCAAGTCTTTCTCTTTCAGTGTTTATGAGTTAATTCAATTTTAAAAAACTGTGTAATTACTTTTAATAATCTTCTTGATTGAACTAGTTTTTCCCAAGATTAGGAAGAACATTTAACTTGTAGTTTTCAGTCCATTTATAAACTGAGTAATTCAGAAATCTGTACATGTGAATTAAAGCTCCATACAAACCGGCTCACAGTAAATAACCTACTACGCTCACAAACTGGTCCATGAGGGGCTTTAATGTGAATCAATCATTTGTTTTAGTAATAATACCATAAGATACATATTTCTTCTTATTGACTTTCTCCATTTCCCACATAATAACAGTAATTGACAGTTTGTTTACATAAATAGATGTAGAATAATAAAAAGAAGAAAAAAAATTACAATACCAAAGATGCATTGGAACCAATAAATCATCATCTTTAATCATTTGTTTGAATTATAATTAGGAATATTGGTACTATAACCTAAAATGAATATATTTATGTGTAATGCCTTTTGTATTAGTTATTAGAAATAATAATAATACTGTTTACTTGTTCCAATTCCATTTGTGCCATTTACAAGAATCTGGAATATATTGTTTTGGTTCAATCTTTGTCCATATTCATTCAAGCATTCAAGCAATTTGTCATCATCAGGGTGACAAGTCTTGTTTGTAAAGTGTGTGTGTGTGTACATATGGGGCATACCGCAACAAAACCAGACAATGTGAACATTGATGTTACCAAAATTTTCAGGGATTAAGATTGTTTGTTTAACATCATGATTGTATTACAAATGTGACCATTATTTTCTATAACAATAGTACCATACAGCAAAGAATAGATTTTGTCATTCTCTTTTCTTTTCTAATCAATAATAAATGGATCTTTATTATGAATAGGTAATACAATTGTGAAATCAAACACTATTGATCCCTGAAATCATTGGTAATACCAATGTTCACTTTGTCTTGTTTTGTTGCAGTATGCCAATATATATATAACTATTTTTTTATTATTTGAAGG